AGAGAGAGAGAGAGAGAGAGAGAGAGAGAGAGAGAGAAGTCCTCGTATATTCTAGGCAAAGTGACCACTCAGGTTTGCTTACCTCCCACTTCGAATGCAACCGTTTGCGGAATCGTGGAGATTCCACTCCATACTGTTTCCATCTCTTGGCGACGTCCTGAGGGTTAGAAAAAGCAGAAAGGATTCACAGTAATGCATTGTAATGAGTCGAAATGATGTAAAAGGAAGTTATGTCTTTCCAAACTTCTTAATTATTTTAATGGTGAACATGAAATTATGACACCTTTTTGCTGCTGAAAGAAGACAAGTGGCCAACATAAGTTTTGGGAGAAAGGAACAAAACTTTTTTCTCTGTTAAAATATGCCAATTAAAATAAAATGCTTCCTTCCATATGAAGTAATACTTTGATGAGAGTTTTAAAAATAAACGAATTGTATCAAATTATGTTTTGTTTTCTAAAATTCGTGAACGTTAACAGATATACTTGTCCAGGGCCAGTGAAATTTTTGCAAAAAATCCTCAAAAACAAACACAAAACAAAAATTGGTCAAGTCATCCTCCCTGATATACCCCCCCCCCTCCCCTGTCTTTCCCCTCAACCTGTGCTGACGTCTTCGCGCTAAGAATCAGTAAAGGATGTTGATGTTTTATCTTATCTTGACTACATTGAAAACAACATCACTCATGGTCAGGCGAACAGCTACTTTCTGGGTGGATCTGTTTTTACAATGAGAGCACAGGTAAAATAACCGACAGATTGTGTGAGATTACACCCGTATCTCTTGTTTTTGTGCACTTCTGTGTGCAAAAAGTAACTCTCCCCTCCCACCTCGTAACATATGTTTGGAGATTCCCAAACCTTAGTCATTATGCCTTACTCTGAATAAGTATTCAGTCTATGGTGCCGAGATCGAAGTGGGGTCACACAGAGGTGAAAGTATACTCAGCTCTTCCGACTTGCAAGTTAAACAGAAAAGTATTCTGGAATATTACAAATTTTACTGTGGCTTCTAGAAGAGTACTCTCTCTCCCACATACACCCACGTGGAAGCTCGAGTGATCAATTATCTTTCCATCCAATTTGCTTTTCTCAGCCAATTAGCCGCCTCCCCGCGCGAGCAAGCACACACACACACACACACACACACACACACACACACACACAC